ACCCCACATGGCAAATACAAGTCCTGCTGACTTCTTCAGGTTCAAGGCTAGGTTAATGGGTACACTTCAAACCATCTAAACATCATAAACATGTCAAAAACATCATTAAGGTGACATGAAGTGACATGCAATACAATCTGTCATACATATATGTCAAATCCATCATGAAGTGACAAGTAAACACAATCATAATATGACATCCAGACTATACTAATTTGATGCCACTACGATAGGCAGGTGTCCACAGATGACATATTGAGGTCACCAGACAGATTAATGACCTGTGTACTGTCAGTTGTTAGATAAATAAGCAAAATGAATGATTCTCAACATAAACATCAAAAAAGGCTCTGTCTGTCTCTCCCTCTCTCAAGTGTAACCGGTATCTCGGCACCTCGATCCAGTCTGGGTAGCTGTCCAAGAAACAGACCGATAAGCTTTTTCTCTCATACCTGCTTTAAGGCTACTGGGGTCATCTCCCGGTCAACTTTCTCACCTCTGCCTGTATCAGCCTTGTATACATTAAAATACAGCAATTAAAAGCAAAATAAAGCACAAAGCAAACTAAAGGAGGTCAATCAGTCCCATTTCTGATCTTAATGTTTTAGATTGTTACTAACCACAATAACTAAAACAAAAGACACAAAAGGAAAGGCTGAAGTGGCTGCAATTTTAAAGGGCTTGAAGGATGAAAAGTGGCAGGGTCAGTGTCTGGGTTGAGTGACCTTTCCTTATCTTACTGCTTAGTGTGGCACTGGAGTGGAGGGCTTGGTTTTGTGAGGGTGTGACTCTCACTGATGTGTTGCTGAGCTAGCACTCCTGGAGGGGTTTTTGAAAGAAAGCTATGGTGTACTGATTAATCAATCACAGATCTTTCCCCAGCTATGGGCTGTCACCTCGCTAGGCTCCTTTAAGTGTCCAGTGAAAATGATTTGGCAGCTGCACCAACCTAGGGCTGTGACACAGTCTTTTTTTTTTTGGCTCAGCAACCAAACAGCACAAGAACAGTCAGGACTGCATTGGTGCCAGCCTGCTCTCCATGGAGGACCTATACACCTCACAGGTCAAGAGGAGGACAGATAAGATTTCTGCAAACCCTTCACACCCAGGACACAAACTGTTGGATCTTGACCCCTCCGGACGGCACTAAAACAACCAGACAATGACAGTTTCTTACCCCAGGCCATGACTGAATGGTTACTCCATGTTTATATGTATAACAAGATACAGCCAATGCCACTTGTATATGTAATCACTTACAATAAATGGCTCCTTTTTAACTAATATATACTGTATGTAAATATTTAGAAATCATTGGTTGGCCTTTTTGATTTTTTATTTGTTTTGTTTTGGGTGCATACTAGGGGCCATTCAGCTACAGTTCATTTCCTTGTATTTAAACATACTTGACAAAGTTTGATTGGTTGGTTATATGGGATATAAGAGAACTAAAATAAATATTAAAGATGCTGAGAAGCTAAGGTTGACACTGCAGCCTACCCCAACAGTCTGCCCAAGGTAAAGCCCACTTCCCCTTCTGACTCTTTGTAGTTCACGTCCAGGGTGTAGCCATAAGATGTTGCCTAGGGAAATTGGCCAGACAGGAAGCACATGTGCAACTGTCTTCAGTGGCTGAGCTGGAATCACATTGCAGTTTGACAGAAAAACTTTAAAAATGATAAACCTGTTACAAGCCTTAAACATAACTGCATATTAAAGTCAAACATGAAATCATTATGAGATAACTATAGCAAGCAGAATATACCTCAAAATACTCTTATCTGGTACTGACGTTAAAATAGTTTTGCGATTGTAGTGAATTCAGAAATTACATTCAGTCATATTTGTGACCACAGATACAGACAACACACGTAAGGCACAGAGGGTATTCACACTTTTCCAGGATTTCCAACAATATCATTTTAACTTGTTTTTTGAACAAGAGAAAGGAATAGCTAATGATGGATCACAGTCAAACACTTGTTCAGTGATCTCTCATTCAATTTAGCATCATACGCAACTACATTACAAAAATAGGCCTTGTTTGCCTTGATTACCTAGCTTTATGTCAGTGTGCACAATGCACTTGTTTTGTTCTTATTTGTGTGTATTTTATTTCTGCAATGGTGTAACTAACAGTGTACTTAAGTACTGTACATGAGTACAGTTTTTAAGTACTTGAGCATTTCTATTTTCTCCTACTTTCTAATACTACTCCACTACATTTATCTGACAATAGTAAGTGAAAGTTATTTTTAAAGGTTAAGGCCAGTGGTAACCCTGTTTAGCTTGTTATCCCTGGTTATCCCTTTCAGATGTTACCACCCTCTTCGCCGTCGTATTAACTGTAACACTTGCCGTCTTCCGTATGTTCTTTTCGTCCTTCTTTATGTAGCGAACGCTGGATTCATTGATGCCGTAATGG